GGAAATTGCTGTTTTGGGGGTTAAAAATGGTCAAATCTCAGCACTTTCCTTTGGTTCAGCGGTATATTGGGATGCGTTATCCTTTTTAGCTCTCATAGCAACCTCACCAAGCAGGTAGTTTTAATCCACTTTGGAAGAGAATACCAAAACCCAGAGAGGCCGAGTCACTTTCCTAAGGTCACAGAGCTAGTGGGTGAGGAACCAGGGCTGGGACCCAGTCCCATCTGGCCCCCTTGTCCAGGTTTTTACCACTGTGTAGACCCCCCGCCTAAGCCACCTGAAAAGGACCTTTGGGATCAATCCTAGCACTCCTTTGTGAAGAAGAGAAAGTGTTTCAGTATCTTTTTAGGAGAGGAGTGAGGGGTTAGAGGAGGAGAGGCCCCCAATCTACAGGAATCCATCTCAGGGGAGTCTCCTGGTACCCGTGGTGTTAGGAACTTGGCTTCATTCCTGTCTAGTTCTGTGTAGCCACACAGTTTCAAGTCCCGAGGACCCAAGTTCACCCCACAAGCACACATACCCAGCATTTTCTGTGAGAAACCTGAATTCCAGGTCCCCAGCGGCACGCCAGTAACAACTGCTAACCGGCTGCCATGTACATGAGCCTGGCCAGACCTACCTCTCCCAGCCCAGGCCTCCCAGGTCAGAGCCTGCATGCTGAGGCTGGCCTGCTGCCCCTGGGGCTTGAGCCTTGTGGCCCTTTGAGCTAAAAGCACCATGCTTAAACGTGTCGCTCAGAGGACAGCGTCAGCATCTGTCCCAGGACAGCCACCCAACCCACGCCCACCCCCAGAATAGAGTGAGCCTCAAGCTTGGCTAATTCCAGCCACTGCCTTCAGGTTTGGGTCCAGAGCTAACCAAATCCATAGGGTAGACCAACCCCACAAGAGTTGTTAACTTATACGAATTACGGCGTGCCAGGGAAGCAGAGTGAATTATCCCAACAATCCCACAGTCTGGAGGAAGTGCACAGAAAAGGGCACAGAGCAGACACCTCGACAAACACAGATGAGTTCAAGGACACAGTGGGGAGGCGTCTCTTAGGGTTCTCATCTCTGAAAGAGAAGCGGCCAGAAAGCCTCGGAAATGGCAGCATCTTTGGTGCTGGCATCGGGCTCATCAACATCATCCTTCACACGGTGTCCAGCCCTCAGGGTCTAGCCAGTGCCTGGCACTTAGCAGATGCTCAGTAATTATTTTGAAGAAAATCCATGAATGGATGAAAGCATAGCTTAGTGCATGAGGGAAAGTTTACATTCACGAAACCTTTGGGGGATGAATGAGTCAAGCCTAGGGAACTGTTGATGACCCATCTTCTTTCCCTTTCTCTCCTGAATTTCTAGTGCTTTCATCATAATTTTGCTATTTCCTCATTGGGCAGCTTTTCTTTTAATAATAGACTTCATTTTTTGGAATGACTTTAGATTTACAGAAAAATGGAGAAGATAGCACAGAGAATTCCCATACAACCCCTCACCTGCTTCCCCCATTATTAACATCCTGCATAGTGTGGTACATTTGTTATAATCAGTGAACCAACATGGATACGTTATTGTTAGCTAAATACTTTATACCTGTTTCCTCGGTTTTTATCTAGTGTCTTTTTCTGCTCCGGGACACCAGGTTACCTTTAGCTGTCATACCTCCTTAAGCTCCTCTTGGCTGAGACAGTTTCTCAGATTTGCCTTGTTTTTGATGACCATGACAGTTTTTGAGGAGTACTGGTCACATATCTTATAGGCTGCCCCTCTAGTGGAGTACGCAGTATTTGTCTCACGATTTAGACCGAGATTATGGGTTTAGGAAGGATGACCACCGAGGTAAAGTGCCTTTCTCATCACATCAGGTGTACATGCTATCAATATGATTCATCACCGGTGATGATGACCTTGACCACCTGGCTGAGACTGTGTTTGTCAAGTTTCTCCACAGCCAACTTACTGTTGCCTCCCCCTCACTTTCCAGACTGTGCTCTTTGGAATCAAGTCACTATATGCGGCCCTCACTTAGGAGTGGGGAGTTACGTGCCTCCCCGATAATTTTTAAGTGCTTGAGGATTGTCCCTTTGGAGCAGACAGCCCTTGTCTTTACTTTCTCAGGTGATACAACACATAGTGAAGTTAGGAAGTGAGGCCAAGCTGTGAGTTCCTGGAGAGACAGGATCTTGCTCTGCTGCCTCTGCTTGCCCCCAGTATGGCTCCTTTCACAGTGCCGGTCACCTCTTAGATGCTGAAATAAGTACCTATTGAATTGAATTAGACAACTACCACCACCACCACCAAAAAAAAAAAAAAAAAAAAAAAAACCCCAC